TAGTGAAAAAATTAATTATTATTTATATATTTTTCGTAAATAAAAGTCTAATGTTATGTCACGTAACATCACAAACTATATATTATAATCAACACAGAAATACAAATAAATGTATTACATGTAGTATTTATTATTTAAAATAAATATCTAACCAAACAATTTATTTTTATTTTAAAGTGAAAATAATCAAACGTTGATTTAAAAAAAAAAAAAACATTTAAATTGAAATTATTGTTCATATATTATAGATCGTTAACAATGTTGGGAGCTCAATGCGCTTCGTTCGTTGCGTTATTTGTTTTCGCATACGCCAGTTGGGTTTCAGAATACGATTGCGGCGCTCAAGAAAATGTTTCCGTTGGTTCGTCTAGATGGCTTCGGATGACTATATTTCTATTAAGTTCAACGTTGGTAGGAACATGTGCTATTATTACCTTGGTAAGTGTTTTAAAATATATTATCATTTATACTTAGTCTGATTATTTTATATTTTAACAATATTACATTTATTTATGTTCTAGCAAGATTTCATGGACATAAATTTTAACGAAAGTTTTAGATTAAATAATACAATTGAGTTWTACTTAAACACCACAAAAATATTGGACTCGACAGAAAACCAAATACATTGGTATTCTTTCTCAGGGGTTTCTGTAAGCAATCCAATAATTTTATAGGGATGTATTGGTATGTATAAAAGAGTAKAAGTGAAATAACTTTTAACTATAATAATATAAGTATAGAATGGGTGCACGGTAAATAGTGGGTAATGAGTACAATATTTTATTATTATTTGTTTTTGTATGTTTTGAGTTTTCTTATTTCTTTTTGAATCCTATACGCGTGATCAACCCTATGGTGAAATATATGAGTAGGTATTATCACAGTTGTAAGATTTTTTTTCAATATGCACAATCGCTTCACCTCCTGTTGATGTTATAGTTCTCCACTTTTAATTGGTTAATTTTTGTCCATGTTATATATATATTTACTGTATTAATTGTATGATTGACAGTCAATAAGATAGAAACGGAGAACTACGATATAGATSATGTGAAGAGCAAGGGATACGTATCAAAAAACTGTGATGATAGGTACCTATCTATTTTTCATATCTACCACCACACCACTATACAGAGTAATCATAAATATAAATAATTAAATAAATTGCCTTTTGAGTATATTTACAGTGGATAAGAATAGATTTATAATAATGTTTTTTGACTAATTTTCTATCGAAGGTACAAACATTTTTGTCAGATATATTTTCCAAAAATATGGAGTACCTACCTATACTAAAATTATTATTTACCAATACATCCTTGTAAATTAATAATCAAAAATACTAGAATTTACTATATTTTGCCTTTTATTACTTATAGGCGTTTTTATGTAGTACTATCCTCACATTGTCGTTGATATCAGCATTTCTTCGAATTGGTATAACCCTGAAACTTTTCATTATGGTTATCTGTGGATCAATTCATTTGTCTATATACCAAACATTACCTTTATTTCAATATCATTTTAAAAACTTTAGTGATAAGTAAGCATAAATACGTTTATTATAAAAATATAGGTGCCATATACTGATCGTTATACCCATAACATAAGACCATTTTTATTTTTCAAGTGAAATACCATGGCAATTAAAAATGTGGACTCCAGTTATAATTTTAGTCATTATATTTCACATGTTAGACAGAAAAAATGAATTATCTGCACGAACAGATTTCTTATGGAGAGCTAAATTAAAGGTTGAACAAGAAGAAGTGGAAACCATGAGAGGTATCAACAAAATTTTATTGGAAAATATTTTACCGGCTCATGTTGCAGAACACTTTCTTCAAGAACAAGCTTTACAAGTTGGTGAAAAAAAATCTAATCAATTTATTTGTTATATAATTATTCAATTTGAATTTTAGGACTTATATCATGAACGTTACGGTTGCATAGCAGTAATGTTTGCGTCAATTCCTAACTATAAAGAATTTTATGATGAAAACGATGTCAATAAACAAGGACTGGAATGTTTACGATTGTTAAATGAAATCATCTGTGATTTTGATAAAGTAATAACAAAATTTAAAATATTCAAACTATCTTGCAATGTTCTACATTTTTTTAAGTTCTGGATAGCGGATTTATTTAAATCACTACTTCTTGAAAACTTATAGTATACATTGCAGTAAGATGAATCAAATAAGGAAAAATAATAATACTTGTATGATTTTAGCTACTTTTAAAACCTAAATTTAGTTCAATTGAGAAAATTAAAACTATTGGCAGTACTTACATGTTGGCTTCTGGCCTTAGGCCTGGAAAAGAAGATAACACATCCAAAGTTTGTACTCTTATTTTTAAAAATATTTATTGAGGTTAATCGCTATAACCTAAATATAAAATAGTAGAATACAAATGAAACTTAAATAGTATGTAAACTCAAGTATAAATATATCCAAGAGATCAGATTTTATAAATCGTGAACTTCAAAAAATATAATTCATAATATATCAATATATATTCTATATTTCAAAAATGTACYTATATATAGGGTGACTCTTTTATCAAACAACACTCATCATTTTAAAAACTATTGACTTCTTTCAAATTTTTTTCTTTTTCAAAATTTTAAATCTATACTGTTCTACAACAATATAATTTTTAATATTTTTCACCCTTATATTTATTAGGTAAACCAGTATCAACTTTTGATTTTAAAATGACAACCTATACTTAAAATCGCATAAGCTAATACGGATATTTGTGAATATTTTTCTATATTTATRCATTTTAACGTTAAAATTCATAAAACAAATAGTCTTATTAGCTTATGAAATTTCGAGTATAGGTTGTCATTTAAAAATCAAAAGTTGATAGTAGTTGTTTGCCTAATAAATATAAGGATGGAAAATATTAAAAATTATATAGTTCTAGAACAGCATGGATCTAAATTTGAATAAAAATTTTCTTAACAAGTCAATAGTTTTTGAAATACTTAATGTTGTTTGTTGCTGTATATTAACACGTATATTATTACAGCTAAAGTCTAAAATTGATCAATGTGCACATTGTCAGGATAATATGTGCTTATATTTTCGATTGATTTTGTGTTTTTATTTCTTATATATGTATATTGTATA